CTCACCCACAAGTTGTTTCTACACTTCCCCCTTTTCAATCCCAAACTGTTTCCTTTTACCTTTCCTCAAATCATGCATACCTTCAAGATCTTGAGGGGGCAGTGTGGGATTTATTGGAGAAACAGGTCATCGAAAGTGTTTTTACTACTGATTATTCATAGTTCCAAAGAAGACTGGGGACTAGCATCCAATTGTTATTTGACTGTCATGCACTTTTGGATGGAAATTTTTTTTTCAAATAGGCATTTTAACCCGGCCTGTGGATGACCAAGCTCGATGTTTCAGACATCTTTCTCCATATTCTGAGTGCCCTATTCTTCAAACTTCTTCTCCATTTTATTCACTGGGATCACATGTTCCAATTTCTTGCCCAGTATTTCAGCTTTGTATCAGCCCCTGTGTTTTCAACCAAGTTATGAGGCCTTTGCTCACCATTTTCACAGTCTGGGTTTGCAGTATGGATGACTGGCTTCTCCTTGCTCATTCCCAGGTGGAATCCTCCCAGCATATTTCCCTTCTTCACGAGGCTGCTTGATTGAGGTGACTCATCAAGATATTCAATACCTTATTCATCTGAGAATTATTTTCAAAACTTGCTTCAGCTGTGCCAAACTTCTTCCATTTTTTTCCCCCATATCTCAAGCATCTAGTCACCAAAATTTGAACTTCTCATTCTGCATGAGAGGTTCTTTCTCTTTTGGAGACTATGACTTCTATGGAACTATTTATTCCTCTAGGCCATGCACATGTGTTACCTCCAGTAAATGCTGCATGACCAATGGAAGCTTTCCATGGATGTGCTGTCCTCACTTATTTACCTCTCACCTTCACTTTTCAAGGAACTAACTCAGTGGCTATACTGCTCTAATACCACCTTCAGAATTCCCTTACCACCTCCCACACTGGACCTCCAACTTTTCACCAATGTTTCCCTCTCAGGTTGGGAAGTGTGTCTGAATGACAAGTGACTTTTGGCACTTAGTCCCTGAAGGTGCTTTATCTACACAGTAGTGCTCTTGAACATCTTGCTGTCCATCAGGCATGCACCTATTTCCTAACCTTTCTTATAGATCATCTGGCTATGATCCACTCAAACAATTCCTTGGTCGGGTCCTATATCAACCCAACAAAGAAGCACCAACTCCAGGTCCCTTTGTTTTCAGATGTTGGACCTCTTTTTGTGAGCCCATTCCCATTGGGTATGCCAGATAATTTATTTTCTTTGAGCACTGAACCTTGTTGCAGACCGCCTTTCTCAACAAGACTGCATATTGCCCATGAAATGGTCCCTACATCCTCAAATATTTTATTAGATATGTTCCCTAATCAAAACTCTCTTAATTGATGCCTCTGTAACTCCACTTAATGTCAAACTTCCTTTCTTTTTTGTCTCTTGTTTCCCACCCTTCAGTCAGGACTGGTCTCATCTCTTCCTTTATTCCTATCCTCCACTTCACCTCTTTCCCCAAGTCCTTGCTCTGATTCAGGACACCTCTTGCAGGGTCCTTCTTATAGTTTCTTGCTGGCCAGTGCAACCTTGGTTTCCTCTGCTTCTTCAACCCTCAACCAAACCTCCCCTTCTTCTTCCCAACATCCCATCTTTTGTACTCCAGCCCCACAACTCACTTTTTCATCAAGGATGATTTCCTCCATCTTTACATATCGCATTTATTTGGTCCATTGTTTGGTGAGCCAACTTATCTGATTGTGTATCCTTCATTCTCTCTCACTCTTGCTACCCTTCCTATTTAACTCTCTACCAACATAAATGGCAAGCTTATTACTGTTGGTTCCTCAAACACCACTTCTTACCTGACTGACCTACCTTGCACCATCTTAATTCCTTCTTTATCTGGGTGTTTGTCCATGGCTTGTCTGTCTCTACTATCACAAGTTATTGGGAGGTGTTATCTACCACCTTTTGCCCCCTCCCAATAATGTGGGATATTTTCTCTGTCCTTTCTACCCTCTTCCATTCCTTCCTTATCCATAGACCCTTCATCTTGCACCATAGCTTGACTGGGATTTCAATGTGGTTTTACACAAGCTTACCCAGAACCCTTTCAAACCCCTGGTTTTTTATTCTTTGTACCACCTTTCTCTCAAGACCTATTTCCTCATCTTCACCTGTGGTTGCCATCATTCAGCACCTATACCATCAATTCCTTTTGTACTCTCTTCCATCACACTTTTCCTCTATCCAGATTGCTCTTTCCTTCCTAAGACTTCTGCTGTTAAGGAAGATATGGCCACACTTTTTTCCCATCTCCCTACCCTCTATCTCCCATATTTTGGATCCAGGCTGTTTATTGTTATTTGTCCTGTATTTCTATCTTTTGGGATTTCTGTCATCACCTTTTCATGCATTGGGACCTTTCTCTTTCCACTCTCACAGGATAGATCCGCTAACTCCTTTGTCTGATATATGCATTTCTGGAAATGAACACTTGTTGGGTGTTCAGTGTCTCTTCACATCAGATTTTCCACCTTACACATTCTCTTTTAGCACACTTTCACCGACCTCTGGATGAAATCCTCTAGGCTAGCACATGGACTACCCCACAAATCTTCGTTGCCCACTATCTTCAACACCTTGCTATCTCATCTCTGGAGAGTTTCAGACTTTCACCAATAGCCCTACTACAATCAACCCACTGTCTTCAGACAAGTGAATACACAGTTTCTTTGCTCTCCCTGCTTAATATATAGGATCCCATTTGGTGGCTAGTGTTGCCTCCCAGGTAATACTTACTTAAAATCTGTATTGAGCCAGGATAACAGAAGGCACTCATATAATTTGCCCTAGCTCTACATATGTACCCACTGTGAGATTGGGTGTTCTGCAAGACCATTTGAGGTATCCTTATAGGATATATAATACCTATTCCATGGACTAGCATGGAAAAAGCCAGCACCCAAAAGGTGTTTCTGCCCACTTCCCTGGCTCATGCTTGCTAGCTTTTTAAAATAAGGTTTTGTAGTTACTCATTGCACTGTCTCCACTAAAAAAAACTTTCCAGACTGAAGGACTTATGGGGATCCAAACACATTTTTTATTTCTACCCAATATGAATTCTCTCCCCCTTACCAGTTCCTAGCTGCTTGTGTAGTGAACCATGGAGAACCTTCATCGATTGGGACCTAACCACTGGGGCTAGAAGAAGGCAAGAATCTGGATGGCCATATACCAATTCTACCATCCCTGTGACACAATTCTGGCTTCTTGGTCTCTTCCCTTTCCTATACAGACGAAAAATATACCCTGGATGAGACGAGATGTTGTCTTCCATGGATGTGCCCCTATGGAGCACCTACCATAGGGTGCTACACTCCTTTGGGCTCTTTCTGAAGGGAGCTTATCTTGTTAAAAGTTGCCCTGAGCTTTCTACGATATTAACATGGAATTCTAGTTAATGTGTGTGAGTAGGTGAGGTATTGTCTTGGAAGTTAACATTTATCTTACCTGAAAATGTATCTGTTAAATACTCACCTATGCAAACATTCCCATCCATCCTCTTCACTTCCTGTGTGCTTTTATTTTTCCTTGCCTTGTCAAAGAATGAAGTTACTATGAGTGCAAGTGAATTAGGTGGGAGTGCTTTCACAAGGTTAGTAGCATGCAAGTCTCTTTGGCAGAGTGTAAGAACACATGGGGAAGATAACTGATCTGTGTGAAGAGGTGAGTATTTATCGGAAATACATTTTCAGACAAGAAAAATGTTAACTTTAATAGGAATAATTCAGCTAGAGTTATTTTCATTCATGTGAAACTACTAAATTTGTCTCTAAATTAGCCCTGTTATTTTAACTTATGATTGGTGAAAAGCTCTTAACTGTCACCTTTTGGCAGAATAATGCTTGGTGAAGTCGTGTTCACATTAGAAACTACTGTGAGTAAGAATTGAAGCTTCAGTACCAAATCAAGTCTGCATGTAGTGAAGTTCACCAGCTTTAGATAATAATCGTGACTATTGCCTTGGTGTATCTTCGTTTTATAAGACATATTTACGTGTAGCTTGCTGTTTGAAATTTTTCTGTTCTAAAGGATTTTGAGTGAGTAACTTTGTGGATCATAAGATATAATTGTAATGTTTAATTTCCCTGTGATGACTTTTATTGACTTGTTCATTCATTATCATGGAACAAGTTCATTACACCTGTAGTTATGATATGATATAAAAGTAATTTTACACATAAGATTAATTTTTTGTTTTATCTGTTAAACAGAACTTTTAGTAAATACCTCATTGTTATGTTTGACTAAGACAAAGGTAGTTAATTTTACCATGGATAATTTGTCACATTCAGCTATGTAAATTGGAGTGAAAACCAGGTGACACTCAAGAAAACATGGTGCATGGTGCTAACACATCTAGGAGAGTTTGGAACACACTAATAATATTGTATGTTGCTCCAGGTGGAGTTACAGGCTAGGGCAGTATTTAGCAGTTAGCCTGTTATTCTAAGTGTTTGTAAATAGTGTTATATCTGTTTAACAGTGTTCCTGAGGAATTAATTACATGAACTAGTCAACCTGGTTGTAGTTCTTGATGTTAAGTATTAAACAATGAATTTATAAATGTTCATATTATTTTGGTGTCTTAATTTTTTGCAACAATTTTTAGATGAGATTACTGTAACATATAGTTCCTTTGTCATATATTTGAAGGATTATGTAGTACATTTTTTTTCCAATTGTAGCTTATGTAAAGTAATATATAATTTATAGTTTCAGAAACTGCATTTTTATTTTGTTCAGTAAATGTAGTCAGGGAAAATTTCTTTTAATATTTGTCAAATGTCATCCATAAAATCCTAATTGAAGACAATCGATTACAAACTTGTAAGTTTAAGTATTTTTTTCTGTAAAGCATTTATTCTTTTATTTATGTATATGTACTTTCAACACTATGTTATTCTTATGATTGTTGTGTTTTCTTGCAGTGTATGTATATGTTATTATAGTTAGGTAATATTAAAATATTTTATTTTTCTGATAGATTGGACACTTGGGAAAGTGATCAAACAACATGGACAGAAACACGTAAAGTTTTACAACATCATCAAAATCTGTTTGATTCAATCGTGAATGGTAACAAATCTTCATCAAATCTAAGAAAAAAGCAAAAGCTGGATTATGATAAGATAAATGGTGAGTTTCTTTTAGTATGTTTGAGGCATCAAGTTATATAGAACAGTTTCTGTTTTCGTATCATTAAAACTATGGCCCAAATAGTTAAGTATGTTACATTTAAATTCAAATTAAGCTAGGTTCAGTCAGATGAGTGTTACTTAAAGCATTTGAGAGTATACATGCATGTAGCTCAGAGTGAGTGCATTAAATATTACTTAAAATTTAACAGACTTCTTTATTCAATAAAATTTGAAAGGAATTATAAATCATGCTGTCACCTAAACCAGTCATTTAGAATTGTCTTTAGTACTTTTATCCATTATACAGTTTGAATGTTGCATTTGCATAAAACCCCAAGAACTCTGAAATGCATTAACTAGTTTTTCACTATCCTTGTATAGTGTATTGTTATTTACTCTCCTCTTTTGTGAAATGTCACTAAATCAACAGTGTAAGGAATAGTTGATAACCCTGACATCAAATATATAACACTGTGTTGAATGGCACTCTGTAAAAGGTCATGCCATGTGCACTTTGACCCCCACCCATGTAGTAGTACCATTAGTATAAAAAATGTAGGGTTAAGTTTCATTTCTTGTTTTTCATATGTAATCTTTATTTATTAATATAAAAGTGACTAAGATGTAAAAATTAGAAACTTGTTAGGTAAGATGTTGAAGTTCTTCCTTCTCCCAGCACAATACCTCTTCCACCTGGGAGTATTTTTTCCACTCCCTTCTCATTTGGGCCCAATTTTATCTTCATTTATGGTTGATGACATGTTCCTTTCCACAGAGTTATCCTCAATTCCCAAGTTTTCTGGTGGTTATGTGATCAGTGAGATATTCTACCTTTGGACTAATTTGTCATCCATCTCAATGCCAAATTATTCCTTTGTGGTTTCCTGTCCCTCATCCTTTGACTTTAGCAGTAGATCTCCTTTACATCATTCTCCATACCTCCCTTTCCCTTATGTATTCCCATTCTGATTTGAATAGACTTCTATGTAGTCAGATGTTATATTGCCTGCATGGCTTCCTTCTGTGGTTCCCATTCCTTTTTATTTATTCCCTAGAACCCTTTATTGCAAAGAGATATTTCACCCACCACTCTCACAGGTTGGATTCACCAACTCATCAGGCATATTCATCCTTATCTCCTGATTCCCAACATTTTTTTCAGATGTCATCTCATCAGATTCGACATCTTATCTTTATCCTGGCAGCTAATTTATGTTGTCCATTGGAGGAGGTAATCCAGGCTGACATGTGGACTACATCCAACACATTCATCTCCCATTACCACCATCATGTGGTTCCGGCTATCGCATTTTGCCTGTTGCCATACTACACACATTGGTTCAACTGTGAGTCAGTTGGTTTACTTTTACTTTTCTTCTTTTCCCTTATAGGGTTACATCCCTTTTCTATCTTGATCACACTCAGTGGAAAACAAATTTCCAACTGGGTAACCCCTGGCATACCACCTCCTGCAAGTAGAGACCTGGGAGTTCTGGTTGGCATGGAGCTGGACCAGTCGAGATGTTGGCTTGGGTACCCCCACCCAATCATAGGATTGGAGCTGGACTGTTCAACATGTATATATGGCCTATAACACACACTTTCGAGATGGAGTGTTCTGTGAGACCACTAATAGGTTCACTACAGGGTATATTGCATCATACTTATGCCTGTCTCAGACTGCACTGACTCATGGACTGTCGTGAGTAAACACAAGTGGTAGCTGATCATCCCTGGTGTTCCTTTGATTGAATACAACAGTGTCCCCGTGTTCATCTGTTGCAGAGTCTCTACCTTAGCATTCATACAGACCCTCCACCATGTCCCCCCTCCCTTTTTTTGTGGAGTATAAGAATCCGTATCACTTACCAGTTCCTAGCCATTGGTGTGGTGGACCATAGAGGCTTCCTCTTGAATGTGCTCAATTCCATTCCATTGAGAGTAGGAAGGTGGTGTTCTGCTGGTGTAAATGGTGTAGATCCTCCTACTGATTCATAAACTAAAGTAGATCCACCGAAATGAAGTTTACCTCTCCAGCAGGGAAACCCCCATCCTACTATTTCCTGGAGTCAGTTTCCAGGAGGTTTGGTGTTGGTAAGGAGTTGAACCAGCCAACATAAGTCCTCACATGTGTAGTATTAGGGAGCCCTTGTCTTACCACTGGCTGAATCCTGGGATATACTATTTGGCTGGGGAACCCCAATCCTACCATCTCATGCAGGTCAGTTTCTGGGAGATTTGGTGTTGGAAAAGAGCTGGATCAGCCATGTCATATTTTGGTCATTTGGGGAACCCTCATCCTACCATCTCCCAGATATTGATACCTGGGTGGTCTGATTTTAGAAAGGAGCTGGACCAGCCAACATATCTATCATTATGGATGTACTTCTCTTTTCTGCCCAATTTAGCGAGTGTGTTCCTCTAACAAGAATAGTCACATATCTAGGGTATTCTTTGGGCACTTTCTGAAGAGTGCTTGTCTAGATAACTTTTGCACCAGACCCTCCACCAGGCCAATGTGGGATTCTAGCTATTATGTGAGAGAAGGTAAGATATCATCTTGGAAGTTAATATTTTCCTATATTGAAAATATATTTCCGATAGATACCTCCTATCATACTTTCTCCCCACTTCTGGTTCTTCTTTTCTGCCTAATCTCCAAGTTAAGATTGGGTTCTACAGCAAAGAAGGAGCCTGCTGCAACAGGAAAGTTTGATACTCTCCTATTGGTAGAGGGTTGTCACATGCTTGTTTTCATGCTATAATGCAGCTGAACCACATTGAAACATGGGGTAGGTGGGTGTTTCAAGGCTAGTGCTTAGCAAAAACATTTGTGCATATAAAGGGAAGCACTGAATGAGAAAAACTATTATGAATGGAGGTAAGTATCTATTGGAAATATCTTATCAGTGTAAGAAAATATTAACATTTATTCAATGGTTTCAAAATGATCAAACTATCTCATGGTTTCTGTGCAGTTATAGGCTAAGTAAAGTTAATAAATTAATATTATTATATTTTCCTGCTTGTTTGCCTGTATTGTTGAAGCAATTACTTTGGCAGTTGCTTTTTCCTTTACAAAAACTCATGCTATTAATTTAAAACTATATTGGTCTTGTGTTGGGCTTAAACCTGGCATTAAGTTGAAGATTAGTGGTAGGCTTTATTGTGAAACATCTGATACATAATTTCTAAACGGAGTACATAGGTAACTTTAATAAATAAGATAAAGTAAAATAGAATATAATCAGTTTGCCCCTGAAGAAGAAAGGTCCACTTTTTGAAAGTGTTTGGGCTATAGGGATTTTATTAATTTCTGTCAAGACTTCTTGAACCTACGTATTTTTCTAACATCATGAATATAATCTATATATATTAGTTTTAATGATAAAAAAAAAGATATTTCAGTGGAGAATTTCTTTCAATTTTTTGTATTTTTGCTACTGAAAAGTGTGTGTTTGTTGGAGAGAAATAAACAACTAACATGGCTGTGAAAAAGATATAAGAACTTGATCTAAATGTTGGATACAAACTTCTCTTTATGGGACAGTTACTTGTTTTGTGAAATGAATAAGATAAGAACAAAAGAGAAATATCAATGAATCTTCTGTTACAGAACATATGGTTTGTTGAATAAGTATGTGAGAAACCTAGTTTTCAGGTTGACAGTCGTGGGAATTGTACTTTATGGTATATTACATAAGTCTGTCATATAGTGGTGTTATTTATTATAAATTGTAAATTCACCCAAAAAATAAAATTTAGGTTTGAAAATGCTTAATGATTATCATGCTTTAGGTTTGATGTGTGTGCACGAGTTTCAGATGTGGTGATTTTTATGGGTTATTAATTTTCCTGAATTCAAAAACAGATATGATAATATACTAATATTGGCTGGAAAGGGTTAAAAGGCTTTGGAAAATATCACACATTGTCACCAACACTGGCTTAGAACAATGAAAATTATGAAAATAAAGCTTTGTATTCTAACTAGGAGTTGTGTGTCAACAAACCATGTAAGTTAAGTTAGAGTATTATCCAGCCCTTTTGACTTTAACCCTTAAACTATTGCATGTGTTTTAAACTCCTTTCTGTGAATGTTATGAGGTTTTACTGAGCAACATTCGAAATTTAATTAAATCACTCTACTGTCAATGTATTTTAATGAAATTAGATTATCATATACATTATAACTGAAAGTTTTATCTAACTTTCTAAATGAAACCTTTACACAAAAATACTTAAACTTCAGTTTTATTGTCATGTTATGCATGAGCAAACAAAGATCTTAACTTTTTGTCTCTATTACTTGTGTACATGTATTTCTTGACAGAATTCTACTGGTGTTGTGCTATTTATTCATTCTAACTTTAAACTCTTTTGTGTCAATTTAGATATTACAAAAAGAATTAATATTCTCACACCCTGACAGTAGCCATGCCCACCTTTTAACTTAAGCATGTGATTTCAAGCGACATGAATGTATTTAATGGACGTGTTTATAACCAATAGAAAAAAGCTCATTTTAAACTACAATCCTCCAATGATTATTTTAAAACTGACATGTATAATTCATTATTAACTATGTCAAACAGCCAAAGCATTGTCTGCTGATTTTGTCCTCACTGTTTCTCACCTAGATACATAATAGTTAGATAGACAGTTAAATTGTATTTAGGTTTTACTTTTATATTTTAGTTAATTATGTATTATTTATGTTTTAAAATTCATAATTAGAAGGTTTAATGATTTTTTTAAACACAACCCAAACTTCACTTCACCCTGTGAGGCTTACATTACTATGTAAGAACAAAAACATTTTGCTGGAGGCTAAAGTATCTGCTGCTTATGATACTGTTATATTGTCTGTGAGAGCATGTTTATGTGTGTCAAGATAATAATAACGATAAAGGAGAGGAAAGAAAATAAAACATTCAAAACAAACTATAAGTGAAAAGGTAAAGATATGAAATTATGCATGTAACCAACAGAAGATATTTTAAGATTATACGGTAAAAATATACACCGTGTTTTTTTTCAAGTGATTCAGATTCGACGTTCTTGTGACTGATTATAAATTACCATTCAATCTAAACGTGTTTATCAAATGAAATTATGCATTATTGGGCACAAGAAAACAAGATTATCACCGTAAAATAACAATTTTTAATTTACATATCATGAC